GAACCAGAGGTGCCTCAGGTTGGGGTGAGGCCTCTTCCGGGACCCGAGCTGGACTCATTGACTCTTCCCTCCCCTCCACCTGGGACCCGGCGTGGGGGGTGGCCGTGCACAGTCTTCTAAAGTTCGCCGCACAAGGCCCATCTGGTCTCACTCTCCAGGGCCTAACATCTCCCTAGGGTTTATACCGAATCAATCCTCTTAAATCTTTTCAAAGGCCTTCATAGGCACGAAGGGTGGCCATGCCCTCTCCCTGGGATGACAGCCCAGGACACGCTCCCTCCCCGTGGGCAGGGAACAATCAAGTGACTCCTCACAGGCACACTCCTCTCATCATGAGCCCCCAAGCCCCCATCTCTCTGCAGCATAGAATCTGGACCAGGGTGCCCGTGCACCCTGCCTCTCCCCAGCATTCCCGAGACAGCAGTGTGGAGCAAAGCAAAGTGGCTGGAGCGGAGCCAGGTGGCCAGTCCTGGACTCGGCTCCACCTCTTACTCGCAAAATTACCTCACCCAGGTCCTGCTGCTTTAGAGACAAGTACAGGGGTCCCTGTGCTGCAGCCTGATGTCACACTCGGACACACACACACACACACACACACACACACACACACACTCTGTTTCCACAAGATCAGAGAAGCCGGTCACCTCCAGGGGAGGCCGGCTTGCTAGCACTGGGAGACAGTGCCGGAGGAGTGGCCCTTTTCCCCTGTATTGCCCACTTAATCTCTGGCCAGAGTTCGTCCTCCTCATGCCCACCCCATTTCCTTCCCTCTCCTCGCATTTGCCCTGCCCTCTGCTCTCCCTAATTACCCGGACCTCCCCTCCCCCACCCCAGCTTCATTTACCTCCGACTCATCTGGTCATATTTTTAGCTCCCGGCGTCTGTCTCTCCCTTTTCCTATCTTAATATGGAGATGAGCTCGTGGGCCAGCGTGGGGACAGGGGCTGAGAATCCCTGGACACTGGGGGAGGGGCGAGAAGGAGCCTCAGGGAGCCGAGGGAGAGGTATGGGAGGTGGGAGGACTCAGGCCCGCCCTCTTGGAGCTGCCCTGGCCGCAGAAGGTTGGCCATCTCTCTGGCCAACCCCGGAGACTTATTTAGCCAGGACCAGGTGGGGGCCAAGAGGTGCCCATTTCAGGGGCAGCTCCGGTTCCCTCCCCGCCCCCTGCTCCTATTCCTCGCCCTGACCCTTTTTCTCTTGGCTCTTTGGACACTTTCTCCAGGGCCCAGCAGTGTCCTCTGTCCCCTGCTCTGGGCCATTCCCCACCCCACCCCCACCCGGAGCCCCCCAACCTTCGGATTCAAGCCCCAGAGGCCCCTCCCCACCGCAGCTCACCTCTCTCTGGTCCAGGAGCCCACTGCCTCCTCCATGCGCGCGACAACGGGCAGGACGGCGGCGGCGGGGCTGCGGCTGGCGCTGCTGCTCCTGCTGGGGCTGGGGGCACCCCGGTTCGGGGTGCAGGGGGAGGACGGGCTGGACTTCCCCGAGTACGACGGCGTGGACCGCGTCGTCAACGTCAACGCGAAGAACTACAAGAACGTGTTCAAGAAGTATGAGGTGCTGGCCCTGCTCTACCACGACCCCCCGGAGGACGACAAGGCCTCGCAGAGGCAGTTTGAGATGGAGGAGCTCATCCTGGAGGTGAGGGGTCCGGGGGCCTGGCGGCCTAAGCGGAAGGAGAGCGGAGGCTTGGGGACCCCAAAGTTCCACCACAGGTCGGCGATGAGAGGGAGCCTCTGCCCCTTGCTGTGGGAGGCAGAGAGAGCTAGGGGCGGCTGGGAGCAGGGTGCCCTTGGCAGAGGGGCAGAAATGAAAAGGGAGGCCCGCAAGGGAAGGGGGACAACTGCAGGGCAGGGCCCCACCCCACAAACCCACCCTCCAAGCCCAGTGCATGCCCTCTCTTCGTCAGCACTGGGGCCTGCACCCCAAGAGGCCTTTAAAACCAATTGTCCATTTAAACACCGCGGATCTGGTTTGCATGCCACATGTCATGGCTAAAGGTGTCAATATCTCCTAGACCCCATTATGCTTCCCAGTGCCCTCCGGGTACTGGCACCAGTATTGACTGTACGCTATGCCCAAGCTGGTGCCCTCTCCCTCCCTCCCCCGCCCTCATGCTCCAGCAGTCCCCATTGGACCAACTTGGACGCCCAGATTGGAAAATTCTTGTGCTTGACAGAGGCCTGGTAGCACCTCTCCTATCTTCTCTTGAGGGGAAGAGTCTCCCCACCCCACAAGTGGATTTCAAGCACAAAAGAGAGAGGGAGTTGGGGGCAGTGTCATCCCACGGGGCCCCTTCCCCAGTTCTGTGGTGCAGACAGGCCTTAGCTGGAGGGTGAGGCACCAGGACTGCCGAGACTCGCCTTTCTGGTGGCCACTGCCCGGTGTTGAGAGCTGAGCCTGGGCTCTGATGGATGAGCTGAGTATTTTTATCCTGGGTGCTCAGTACCACCTGCCAACTCCTCCCTTCCCACCACCCTGTGAATCACAGCACTGAGTCTCTGTGGGGGTAACGCTGGGCGCCCACCCAAGGCCGAATGAATGAGGGTTGAGGCCCAGTCGAAGGCTTAAGGAGGCAAGGACCCAGGGGCTTGCTGGCTGTCGCCTGAGAACATTCTGAGTAGTTAGTGAAGGTGAGGTGTCCCCAAGTCATACTCTCCTCTAAGGGGGTGGGGAGGTGAGGGTGTGACAAAGAAGAGAACACAAGAAACTGTCCCCACAGCAATCTGGCTTTCCCCAATCCCCAGAGCAAGCCCAGACTCCTAGGCCACTCTCCAAGACCACCCCCCTCCAGCTGAAGCCTTAGCCCCTTGCCCCGCACTGTTCTTCCCATTGAAGAATGCCGCCCCGGGCCTGGCCTTGCCAGGACGGCGCTGCGGCCCCTTTGGGAGCAGTCTCAGGAGCACACTGCAAACCAGCAGTGTTACAGCATGAAAATGGAACTCGGGACCCACAGAGGCCGGCTGTAGGGAAATTGGAAATGTTCCAGTGGGGGGTCAGCGTGAATGCCAAAGCCGAGTTGTAACCCCAACGGCTCCTTCCAGTTAGCAGCTCAAGTCCTAGAAGACAAAGGTGTTGGCTTTGGGCTGGTGGACTCTGAGAAGGACGCAGCTGTGGCCAAGAAGCTAGGTAAGGGGCTGCAGGGGACGTGGCAGGGTGGGGCAAGGCGCCTGCTGCGTGAGACTGGGGGCAGCAAAGGTGGGGACGCCTCAGGTGTATGACTGGCAGGCAGCAAGGCTTATTCAGCTTGCCTCCCCACTGCCATCGATACAATTGCAACTCACAGCAACCCTACATAGGGGCTTCTGAGACGGTAAGTCTTCATGGGACCCAGCGGCATCATCTCTCTCCTGTTCCTGTGGGTTTGAACCACCAACCCCGAGGTTAGCAGCCCAACACTTCTCCCACAGCGCCACCACCCAGGCTCCTTACTCTGAAAATCAGATGGGAAGGAAGGAAGGAAGCCGTCTGGCCAGAGAGTTCAGCTTCTCCTGACTGATAGAGACCCACACAGAAATCCCCGCAGGGGGTGAAGCTGGTCCCTCTTGAAGCCCCAAAGCTGATCTTAGATGCTGGGGGGCGGGGGGAAGGGGAAGAGGTTTCAAGAACTATAGTTGCAGGGCTGGAAACCCTCCAGCCCCTGAGGGTCCTCTGTAGACCCTCCAGCCCCTGAGGGGGCTGTTCACCCCCTTGTTCACCCCCTGAGGGGGGTGGGGGTACAGAACCCTGCCACCAGGGGGCAGCACAGACTGGACCTGGACCCCTGTTGTGGCCGGAGAGGGGAGTGGTCAGCAATCATGAAGTCATTCGTCAGTAATAACCTCTTGCCATCATCACGGAGGGCTCAGGGCTGGACTGGGAATCCGCTATTGGAGTCGTGTGAGGAGGTGGCCTGACTATTCATCTACAGCTATGGCAGCCAGAGAAAGGAAGAAATGGCTGGAATCCTTACTTCCTGGTTCTCTCATTAGGCTAGCATCCTAGGCTAAATGCAAGACACAGACACAGGCAGGTAGGGGGGTAGGAGGCAGTGGAGGGGAGAGCGGGCAAGACAGGGCTAGGTAGAGGATGTGGGCTTGAGCGGGAGCGGGGCCGCGATGTGGATCCTTGAATCTGCGAGGAGGTTGGGTTGATGGCTCTCGCCCCTGGCTGACTCCCCAGGCTTAACAGAAGAGGACAGCGTTTACGTGTTCAAGGGAGATGAGGTCATTGAGTATGATGGCGAGTTTTCAGCTGACACCCTGGTGGAGTTTCTGCTTGATGTGAGAATTCCCCTGGCCCTGATGGCCAGCTCTGACTCCCCACCTGTCCCCCTATGAACCTACACACACACACACACACACACACACACAGCGCCCTGACCTCCCTCTGGTTCCCCAGCCTTCCTCTCGCCACACACCCTCCCCAGTTCTCTAGTTCTCCCGATAAGGACAGAAACCCACTCTCTTCCTTTAATGTCCCTACTCCTCCAGGTGCTGGAGGACCCGGTGGAGCTCATTGAGGGGGAACGAGAGCTGCAGGCATTCGATAACATCGAGGATGAGATCAAACTCATTGGCTACTTCAAGAACAAAGACTCGGAGCGTGAGGAACCTGTAAACTCTTCTACTGCCCTGCCCGGATCCCCTTTTCATCTGTCCTTACTCAGCATCGGCCGCCTCTCAGCATCTTGCACTGGTTCTTCTCCCTGCCCCCGGCCACGTCCACCAGCTGTCCACAGCACTCTCTGCTCTGGGTGTCCCATCTGGATGTCCGCATCCTGCCATGCTCCGCCCCCTCTCAGAGGGTGGGGAGTGGGGTGAGGGTCTCAGGATGAACTTCTTACTGCAATCCCACTGAGTTCTACCGAAGAATTGGAAAGAGGCATGTGGGGGATGTTCCCCTAGGAGACTGACCTCCTGATCCCCCTGCAGATTTCAAAGCCTATGAAGATGCAGCTGAGGAGTTCCACCCCTACATCCCCTTCTTCGCCACCTTCGACAGCAAGGTTCGCCTTATGCTGCCCTCCTACCTCTGCCCCTGAAACCTCGGGGTGGGGGGGGCGGCGCCCTTTCACATGTCAGCACTCCCCCAGACCCTCTCTGCCCGTCCGATTTTCTAACTGCAAAGGGCTATAGGTTAAGACATAAACCCAATGGCTCAGTAGCCAGGGCAAGACTGGGACTCAGTTCCCTGGCTCCCTCCCAGAAACACTGCTTCTCTGCGTGCTCCCACGTCCTCTGCTCCACTCCTCCCTGCTCTCCCCCCCCAAGGTGGCCAAGAAGCTGACCCTGAAGATGAACGAGATCGATTTCTATGAGGCCTTCATGGACGAGCCGGTGACCATCCCAGACAAGCCCAACAGCGAAGAGGAAATCGTCAGCTTCGTAGAGGAGCACAGGAGGTGAGGAGCGGGGCTGGTGTGGGCTAGAAGGCGGGATGTGATCCCACCTGCAGATGACGTGCTTCAGGGGCGCCGTGCTCCGCGAGGCAATAGCAGTATGCAGCCTGTCCTGCCTCCCAGTGTCTAACCTTGAGCCCGACACGGAGGGGGGTCCTCTGCAGATCGTCAGCGTTCAAAGTGAACTTGTGGTTTTGCACCACCCAGGTCAGCGTAGCAGGGCTGGCTGGCTGTCCCTCGTGTTATAGTTAGTCCTTTAGGTGATCTCCATGAAAGAGGTTCCACCGAGGATCCCTGGTAGCCTGGTGATTATGCTTTGGCCTGACGGGGCTTTCCTCTCCTGTAAAGAGCTACAGTTTAGGGAGCTCAGAGGAGGCTCCCCAGTCCTACAGGGTCGCTGCGAGCTAGCACTGCCTGGCAGACGTTGAGCGTTGAGCTGCTCAGATAGTGTGTAGCTACATGAAAAGAAGTCCCGCAGGGATGGGTCGGAACGAGGGTGCTAACCCAGGTCTCTCCCCGGTTTGTCCAAATGTGATACTCGAAGATGGCCCTCAATGGGGAGAAAGGGGGAGAGTTTTGCCCTCCAAGGATGACTTGACCATCAGTGTCAGGGGACATTTTTGGTTGGGAGAATTCTACTACCTTTAGTGGGTAGAGACCAGGGGTGCTGCTGAACACCCCGCGAGGCACAGGCCAGCCCCCCCTCCCCCCCCCAGTCAGGACTGCTCCCACTCAAAATGTTAGTAGTGCCGAGGTTGAGAAGTCCTGTCACACACACACACACACACACACACACACACACAAACTCTCTCCCTTCGCTCCCCAACCGGGAATGCCCATCCCTCAGGGTACACGCTACTTCCTTGTGATCACTCCTCTTAGGTCATGGCCCCCTTCGTCTGGCAGAATCCATGGGCACGCCTGCGCCCAGTGCTCTCAGCTTCCTCCCAAAGCGCCTCTTCCAGCCCCTGTGCCCCCCTCCCCGCTCCCATCTGTTCTCGCTCCGCAATGATCAATGATCGGGGTCTGGTGCCCAGAGCATCCATGTTGTCAGGTGCCTTTGTCCTGAGCTCCGAGCTGTCTGGGTCCCAGACATGAGCAAGAGCCAGCTGCTGCCAAGGAGACTTTCTGAGAGGGTCTTCCTCCTCACCCACTGAGATGTGGGGGCTATCCTTTGAGTGGATTCTCCCTTAGAGCAGCCCCAAGGTGACAGAGTGAAAGCACCCCATGGGGTTTTCTTGGCCGTGACCTTCATGGAACCAGACCTTCGGGTCTTTCTCCCGAAGTCGGAGTCACTGGGTGGGCTTGGGCCTGCAACCTTTCGGTTGGCTACCAGTCCAGCGCTCAGCCAGTTGCAAGACAAGGTTCCGTACCCATGGCGTGACCTGCCATCGTCTCTTCTAGATCCACGCTGAGGAAACTGAAGCCGGAAAGCATGTATGAGACCTGGGTGAGTGGCGCTGGCTGGGCTGGGTCCTAGGGCAGCGAGGGTTGCTGAGCACCCAGGTCCTGGGAACATCCCGCTCTCTGCTCCTCATCCCCTGCTTGTAGCAAAGGCCGCGCACCAGCAAAGGCCGACGGTTTTCTGTTCGGAAGAACTTAACAGGAATTGGGAGGCAAACATAAGCGGATGGAGATGACATGGGAAGAGCTCCCAAGCTCCGGGACTACAGGGGGTTCCAGGGGAGGTGTGGGGTCCCAAAGGGAAAGGGCAGTTCTCTTGGAAAAGGGTTCCCACCGCAAAAACATACCTGGCCCGAAGCTGGAGTTCCACCGATTCAGGTTTGAGGAGAGCTTGGGGTCTGTTCTGGACTCTTCCACTTCAAGGAGTAGACCTGACTGACCCTTCTGATCCCCGCCACCCCCCCCACCCCCCAGGAGGACGATC